TAGACTAGATCGCCTAATTTGGAAGAAAACATTGCATATTCATTTATTTGAAAAATGGTTTGAAGTTTGCTACTCGTAAGTAGGCTAAAATGCGGATTTGATGATTTGTTCCAATTCAAGTAATCCAACCTTCACCCACAGGCATTCAGGCAGTTATATCAATTAAGCAAATAGCCTCATGGCAAGCATGCTATCATGGCAACACTCACACACATGCAGTATGCTAAAGCGTAAACATTCACAATGTACTCCGAGCCAAAACAGAAACTAGTTCGTAATCAATGCATGATCCTAGTTCATGTTAAGATGGCTAATGCAACACATACAAAATGCAACTACAAATAGGCTCGGCTATTCTAAAATGACATGTGAGATGCAGCAATTGATAATCATGTACTCAAATTGGAATCGAAATATGATGCGGTTAGTATGATGCGCCGAGCCCGATGCATGCAATATAGATGAATGGATGCACGCATGCAAGGCATAAGGATGCTAATTGAAAATATGCCCTAGAACTAACCATTGTAAGTGGTTAAGTAAAAGGGAGAAAGACATGGGATTGGAAGACATGCACACACGCATGCACACTTATTACAACAATTGGCCCTCTCGACGGAGGGTCCGAATAAATAATACATGCCAACTAATTAACTATCTGACAAGCTAATTAATTATTACATAACCAAATGAATAACTAGCTACAACTAATTATTACAAAACTTAATTAATTAACAAATTAACTAATTAAATTACAAAACCAAATGCTAACTAACAATTAAGGAAAATAGTAAATAATGTTGTTCCAGCTTTGGTTGGGGGAGAAGGGCATGCATGCTCGTTTCTTGTCCTGAAAGCTCTCCGGATGCTCTTTTGAGGCACTATCTGCAGGGTGTCCTCAACGAATTCCTACTGAACCTTATCAAAACCAGTCTAAGGAATACATCATTGGCCTGCCGGCCATGGGGAGCCACTGCCGACCATCATGCCGACCAAGAGTGGGCACTACCGGCCAAGAATGAAGGACTGCCGGCCACGTGCAAGGCACCGCCGGCCACGGATGTGCTGGGACACCAAGTTGCAGCAGAGCATAAAATAGAGAACATGAAGGGTCTCCCAAGGGTATGTACGCACTATGCCACCCCATATCACCTCGAAACATCAAGGGAGAGGCATAATTGGATCCACGACCATCAATCACGCATCCTGATGCATGATGGCCAAAGATTCAATTCATGCAAATCAATGTAAAATAAATGTACAAATAAACATATAAAGCCTAAAACTCCATCATGTGTCATCAAGAGCATCGACGACCGAAAATTGAGACATGTTTCATCACTTGAAGTATGAAACGCCCCTCCTTCCCCGTGCTCGGATTAATACTTAATCCAAACAACAATGCAACACAAGCATGGCAAACATGCAATATGTCCTAAGTATGCAAACATGCAACTACATGGCATACTCAATGCAATGTAATATGATTAACTTAACAAAGCTAATGGCATGCACAATGCTAATGCTTACAACAACTAGCATACTCAATGCGAATGTCAATTTGCATGCTCAATGCAATGGTGGCATACTCAATGCAATATACATAGCATACACAATGGACTTAAACCAAAAAGGGGGTAAACCTCAGTCATGCCCCAAATCAGTGGCCAAAAGTGTTGGAATGAGGGCACAAAAGCAAGGTATGCATGCACAATGTATTAGCCCAAGAATTAAAGCATAAGGACACAACTCTCAAACATGAGCAAAGAGTGATAATCATGATAATGTGGCAATGAGGTACTCTCTGAAATCATGCAAGGAGTGATGCCAAACCACCCAAACAAGTCAAACATAGCATGCAAGAAAGCTCAAAGTACGAAGCCAACAAAGGGACTTAAACGGTGGCCATACAAGGCAAGCCCGAAGGACTAAGGGCACCTAAAACAGTCCCTAGGCAGGTCAAGGTGAGACTAAAAACATGCTTGAACCTAGCCAATACAAGCTAAAACAAAGGTCAAAAACATGGGGCATGCAAGGCTACAAAAGGGGTATTAAATTACAGTTATTCAAACCAAACATGGCATGACTTGGACAGCATAAAACAGAGTTACATCATGGTATTACAAGACCAAAAATGCACTAATATGATGACCCAAAGGCCTAGGCTTAAGGGCATGCACAATGATCCATTCATGAGGCATAAAACACAAACTCTTCAAGGCATTTAAAACATGTCAAATGCAGGTGTATGACCAAATTTCATGGACTGAAATAACATTCGAAATGATGGCAAAGCATGCAAACATCACATGTATGGCATGGTAGGGGCCTCAAAACCCAAGGCTAGCCAAAGCATTTACACTATAGCTATACAAAACATGAGTGATATGACCCTGGCAGCCCAAAACAGTCCTAGAACATCCCAAAATAAGAATAAAATCATGCTGGAGCAAAGCCAAAATATGCTGGAATGATGAGTCAAATCAACATGCACATAAGGCTAGTAAGCAACACATAAGGCTAGTAAGCAAGATTTGTTCTACAAGCATATGGAGCATGCAAAAGATGACCAAACCAACTTTAGACAGAGTTATGTCATGGCAAAACATCACCAAAAATATGCTGAAATGGACTTAACATAAGCTATGAAAACATGTTACTTTGATGAGCCACAAATGGTATTACACTACACATATAAGAAGCATGCAAAAGATGGCCAAACCAGCCATGGACAGAGTCAAGCCAGGTCCTAAAAGTCACAAAAAGGGGCCTGAACCAAGCCTCAGAAGGATAGGGATACATGCTCCTTTGATAGGCCAAAAACTCAAGCAAACAAAACAAAAAGAGAGGGGGTCACCCTCCTCTGGTTTTAGGCCTCAAAAACATATGGCTACCTCTAAAAATCCATTGGATTTCAGTGGCTAAAAGGCCAAACCAAGACTACCTCGAAGGTCTTAAAGCATGGTACAAAACAAGGCCAAACAAGGCAAACAAGAGGGTTGTGCACCGTTAACACCAAAAAGACCTTAAACAATCATCAAAAGCACTCAAATACAGAACTTTTTTCAGTTGAAAGCAAGGCCTAAAACAATATGCAAGGATGGCCAAAATGAGGTACAAATAAATGCTAAAATGAGAAATATACTCACCCTTGAAGATCAACTTCGAAACCAGCAACCTCAAGGGCCAAAAACTAAGTTTCCGAGCTCAAGTAACACTCCCAAGAACGTTAGCCCAAAGATGGTGGTGCATCTCTATGTGTTGTAGTGTAAAAGTGCAAGGAAAATGGACTTTAGAACACTATTCTATGCAATATAGAGAGAGAGAGAGAATGAGAAATATATAGAGAGAGAGAGAGAGGTCTTTCTTCTCTAAAATGGCTGAACTTCTGCTAAGGAGAGAGGGCCTCTCCTTATATAGAAGAAAAATAATGAGGAGCTTGTTAAACAAGTTTGGCAAGAGCTTCATCCCTCCATACACGTGTATGGAGGGGAAATGAGTGAAAACCAGCTGGCTCAAAATATCTGGCGTGAAACCTATTGAGACAAGGGTTCTGCCAGCCATCAACAGTGGCCGGCAGCGGCTCATTGATGGCCGGCAGGCTTCATCAATGGCCGGCAGTAACAAATGCATGGCTGGTAGGGCCAAAATGGGGCCGACAGTGCACCAAGAGGATCAAACTGGAAGGGCTAATACATGGTCCAAAAAAAAAGGGCAGAAAGGATACAGGGTTTGGAAAGCTCAACCTGTGACGTTCCGCCGCGACATTCGAGTACTCGACGAGCAATCAAACTAGTTGTTGGCCGTACCTGCAAGCACAACCAAGTCTTGAAGACGATCAAAAATGGAGTGTCTACAACCACACAAATCTAGTTCTGATTCCAAAGATAAAGGCCCCTGAGAAGTTGTCACATTATAGGCCAATTAGCTTGTGTAATTTCAATTTAAAGATCATTACAAAAATTCTGGCATATAGGTTGAAAGGAGTTTTGGGGAAAATTGTTTCGCCATATCAATCTGCTTTTGTTCCGGAGAGAATGATTCAAGACAACATACTCATAGCCTATGAAGCATTTCATCATCTTGAGATTCAAAAAAGAGGCCGAACCTCAAATATGGCAGTCAAGTTGGACTTTAATAAGGCATATGACAGGGTACAATAGGATCTTCTTCAAGATTTGTTACGAAGAGTGGGGTTTGCGAATAAATGGGTTCAGTGGGTCATGAAGTGTGTCACCACTATCACCTTTTCTATTTTTGCCAATGGGGTTAAGAGAACCTCCTTCAAGCCCACGAGGCAGGAGGGGCCTTCGCCAAGGAGGCCCGCTCTCTCCTTATTTGTTCGTCTTGGTGGAGGTGGATGTGCTATCTAAATTTCTGAGTCAAAGTATCTTGGCAAAAAATATTTCCAGAATCAAAATCAAAAGATCCTACCACCCTTGTCGCACCTTCTCTTTGCCGATGACATTCTCATCTTTCTAAAAGCTAATTATGTCTAGTGCCAGAAGGTTATTCAAATTTTAGAGACTTATTGTATGGCTTCCAGTCAGTTAATAAACTTTGAAAATTTTGAAATTCAATGTAAGATTTATGAATAAAATTGTATATTCAATTGTGTTTCAATACAATGTGTACATCTGATATATATATATATATATAGCAATTCTAGACTTAATCCTAAATAGGAAACAACATTCACATAATATATACTATACTTAAAATTATTCTCACACCTCCGCTCAAACTCAAGGTATTTGGGCAAAAAATACTGAGAGTTTGCCAAGAATAAACTGAAACTGGGCAGTAGTGTGAGTCTTGATAAAGAAGTCAGCAAGTTGCAAAGTTGAAGAAACGAAAGGAAGCGAGATATAGTCAAACTACAGATGCTGGCGAACAAAATGATAATCAATCTCAATGTGCTTGGTCTGCTCATAGAAGATAGTGTTATATGTAATCTGAATAGCACTACGGTTTTCATAATAGAGATAGGTTGGAGAAGACTACGGAATGCCCAAGTTAGAGAGAAGACAGCGAAGCCAGACAACTTCAGCAATAGCATGAGCCATAGCACGATACTCAGCTTTGGCAATAGAGCGAGCAATAACAGTTTGTTTCTTCCTTTGCCAAGAGATCAAGGAATCACCAAGAAACATACAGAAATCAAATGTTAACTTGCGATCAGTAACATTATCAGTCCAATCAGAATCAATATAGGCCACCAAATCCAGAAAGGAAGTAGATGACAATATTAAACCCTAAAATATAGTACCCTGGAGATAGCGAAGAATCCGAACCAATGCAGCCCAATCTGTGGAGCGAGGAGTAGAGACAAACTAGCTAACCACATGAACACATAGACAAGATCAGGATCGGCACGATGATTAACCTTATTGGCATACTTGGCCTGAAAGAGAAAGTAGCCCTTGGGAGAAGAAGCTACCTCAATACCAAGAAAATACTGCAATAAGTCCAGATCCTTCATTTCAAAGGTACGGAAAAGATGCTCCTTGACCTCATATATAGCAGAAAAGTCAAAACCAATGATGATAGTATCATCCACATATAGTAATAACGCAACAAATCCAGCAAAGGTGTGGAGAAGACATAAAGCAGAGTCTTATCCAAGCTCAGTAACAACAATTTAAAAACGATCATACCAAGCATGAGGAGATTGCTTTAGACCATACAGAGCACGCCGAGGGTGACAAACTTGTCTAGAGGAATGGTAATGGCCAGGGGGAGGACGCATGTAAATCTCCACAGTGAGATGGCCATTAAGAAAAGCATTTTTATCATCCATCTGATAAAGAGGCCAAGAACGATCAACAGCGACAGAGATCAAAGTACGGACAATAGTCATCTTGGCAACAGGAGCAAAGGTCTTCTCATAATCAATACTATACTTCCGTGAGAAACCTTTGGCAACCAGATGAGCTTTGTAGTGCTCAAGAGAACCATTAGAATGAATCTTGATTTTGTAGACCCATTTGCAACCAACCAGATTCTTATCAACGGGCAAAGGAACCAACTTTCAAGTACTAGTTTTCTGTAAAGCGGACAGCTCATCCTCTATAGCTTGAACCCAATGAAGATCTTGGCAGGCCTCCTTGTAAGACTAAGGTTCTGAAAAAAGTGAATAGCAGACAAAAAAGTATGATAGGAAGAAGAAAAAACATGTATTAGTCCAACCCAACCTGTTTACAGGATGACGTGCTCAAGTAGGATATCGGTATGCAACAGGATCAGAGTCATCAGATGCAGGAGGATTAGCAGCAAGGGCAGAGACAATCGGTGGAAGAGGAGCCTTGCGACGAGAATAAACTAATAACGTAGGATGAGAAGAAACCGAAGGAGGAGAAACAGCCAGAGGTGAAATAGGAGGAGAAGATGAAACAAGCTTAGGAGGAACTGTGGAGATATACTCATCAAACGGGACCTCAGAAGGAAACGGATCAATACGAACCAAATCCTCTATAGAAACTGGGGTGGTGAGAGGAGGAAGCTGAAAGTAAGAGAGATGTTAGAGAAACGAAGCATAACGGGCTACACAAAAACAATAGGAAACAGGGTTAAAACATCGATAGCCTTTCTAAGTAGGATTATAACCCAAAAAGACACAGAGGACAGATCGGGCACTAAGTTTGGTCTTATCTTTGTAGGGAAGAAGGACAAAACAGGCAGACCCACACATGAACGAGGGAGTATTTAGGAATTTGGGAGAACAAAGCCTCATAAGGAGACCGACCAAAAATGTGATGGCCGGGTACGTAAACTGTTTTACTTTCTTTTGTGCGTGTTGGGTTCAACACTTTTTGAAATCTATCTCTCGATTTTTGTCTCTTTTAACTTCAATTCTGAGTTCTACTTTTTTTGGGAGACTTAAAGTTGAATCCGGGGGATTTTACACTTACATTGGAATTTTTCTAGGCTGTGAGTTAAGGGCTGAGCTGTACGTGTGGGGCCATGGGCCGCACGTGCAGGATAGGGGCCACACGTGCGGGAATCTGGGAGATTTCTAGGCTACATACTACATTATATGCAGGTGCAAAGGCAAGTGCGGGAGAGGAGTGCGGCACGCGCGAGAAGCAGGCTCCACACGTGCAGGACGGACCTGAGTTCGAAAACTCTGTTTTTCCCTCTTCTTTTGTGCTGTGTATATCACTTTTGGGACATTTCTCTCTCACTCTAAATATCTTTTTGCTCCTCCTTCTCTCTAAAAACTCGCACCAAACACCAAAAACCCATGATTTCTTGCAATCCATTGAGTTGTAATCCATTATTTTTCACAAATCTTGGAGAGCAAAGCAAGAATTTCACTTTGTACGGTGGAGATCGAATTTCTACAACTTTTGATTTTAGGGTTTCATCAAATCTCTTCATCAAGCTTGAGGTAGGGACTTCTTTGAGTTATATATACTTGTTTATACGAGATTGATGTTGATTTTGAAATTTTCCTAAAGATATTATAAAAGTTTTGGTTTTTAACCTAAGAAATTAGTAGCTTGTTAAAGAAATTCATCTATTGTTTCATTGAAATATTTTCTTGAATAGTTGAAGCACATTGGCATGAAAATGATGTTTTTGGTGAGCGTTTGCCAAGAAATGAAGAAATACATTGTTTGGGTGAAGAAATCTAGAAATTTGGGGTTTTCCTTATATGAAAGAAGATGAGGGTACATGGTTGATATTATATATATATATATATATACATTGTTGTGTGTCATGATAAGTAAAGAAAATGGAGGATTTCTTGTTTTTTATTTTTATTTTATACAAATGCATATATATTGATGATGGGTTTCTTAACATATGAGAATTGTCGAGATTGAAAGTTGTTGTCCAAATATTGCTATAGTTTTGAAATGATTAAAAAGATGGAAGTGTACGAATTGTGGGCATATTGTTGTGTATTGATAAATGGTAGCAAAATTTTGGCTATTGGTTGGAATGGCATTGAAAAAAGAAAACGGAAATTTTGAACTTTATGGAATATTTGTTGGAGTTATGTCTAAAGTGGAGAAACATGATGTAGTATAGATAATTTTTGCATTGGCTCTTCTAAAACCTTGCATGTCATGAACATTGAATTGGGATTTGGAACTTTCATTGAGAATGAATTATTGTGAATTGAAAGCATGGAAATGTTTATGGGGTAAATATGTTGGTAAGTCTGGATAGGAGGTGTAGATGGAATTAATAAGTTGGCCTGAGTGTCCGGGGTAAAAGACCGAAAACATGCACGGAGGAGGTACCACTTCCTTTCCGGTTAGCAACCGGTAAAGTGGGGTTTTTGGTGATGCTAGTTAAGCCTACTTGCAGACACTAACCTAGGAATTACCTGAGTCGTATTTTCCGCCCCATTGATTAAAATTGTAAATTTCGAAATTATTGAGATTTGAAGCTATTGTTGAACATGGGGACTTTTAAAAAGGCATGTAAATGAAATCCTCTTTTAATTGGCATTACATGGCATTTGCATTTAATATTGAAAATCTTGCATAACTGTATATACTTTATTAAGGATTCTCTACTGGGCTTTATGCTCACCCTTATGGGATTTTGGTGAAGGAAAAGATGTGGTGATCCTGCCGAGTTGAGGGCGTGGACATATTTTGTGGAGAGTAAATGACTCTATTTTGTTGTGATTTATTTTGCTAGCCAAGGGCTATTCATGTATGGGTCCGAGAGACCATTTTTGTGTAACCAGGCTTGAGCCTTGGAACGTGTAAAGCCCTTAAAGGCATTTTATTTATCTTTGAAATTTGATGTTCTACATGCTATATATTCATGTACTCCTATATCATTGAATGTATAATTCGCGTGTGGAACTTTTGTACAAACCTTTTTGATAAATGATGTAAAGGTTGGAGAATTGCTATTATTCTTTGATGGATGTTGGTTGATGTACCAAATTTGTGTTGAGTTATTTTGGGGCGTTACAAGAAAGAAGGAAAGTAAGCATGCAGTTGAGAAGAAAAGTAGCAGTAAGAACTGCCTCCCCCCAGAATGGAGCCAGAACTGAGGTAGAGAGAAGAAGAGACCTAGCCGTCTTAAGGAGATGACATTGTTTACGCTCGATTCAACCATTTTGGGCAGGTGTATCTGTATAGGAAGTTTAGTGAATGGTACCCAAATTGGCCAAATACTCATAGAACTCATTTTTAAAATACTCCCTACCCAAGTTAGACCGTAACACTTTAATTGTAGACCCAAACTAAGTAGTAATCATAGACTGAAAGGTACGGTATATTTGATAGAAATCATACTTATGAGTCATAAGATAAACCCAAGTGTAATGGGTGCAGTCATCAACAAATGACACATAGTATACATAATCCCTTTTGGTGAGAATAGGAGAAGGGCCCCAAACATCAGTATCAATTAAAGAAAACGGTGTATCAGATATAGAAGTACTTTTACGAAAAGGTAAGGCTGTCATTTTGGAAAATTTACACCCCCAACATTTAGTAAGTTCACTAGGAGAAACTTTACCTAATATACATGACTGAGCTAAAGACCGTAAGCGGTTAGTAGACAAATGCGTTAATCTAGAATGCTTCAAGTAGAAAGGATTGGATAGAGAATCTAATTGAAAAGAGGGAAAAAAAACACTTGGAAAGAGGAAAAAGCACTTGGAGAAATTGTCATAGGCAGATGCAAACTCTCCACCACATAAAGTTCTCCAACTCTACGACCAGTCCTAATCTGCTGCTTGGACATCCAATCCTTCACAGAACAAATAGAAGAAGAAAAGATAACATCAAAACCGCAGGCATCATACTGACTGATAGATAATAAACTGACAGATAACTAAGAAACATAAAGGACAGATGGAATAAAGACAGTAAACATAGCGGATGATAAGACAGACCTGATAGATATAACAAACATACCAGACCCATTAGCAGCATTAACAGTAAAAGGAAAATGAGGGGGAGTACAATTTTGAAGTAAGAAGAGATAAAGAGTCATATGATGAGAGGCACCAGAGTCAAAAATCCAGACAAATGAAGAGATACTTGAAGAAAACCCAAGCAAACCTGAATAAAGAGAGGAAACAGTGGAGGAAAATCGGGATGACTGAGAGGTAGACAGTTGTAGCACCCACATTTTACTTAGTTGTCACTTTTATGATTAATCTAAACTATGCATTTATTTTTGCCTTATATGCTTATTTATGTGCATTGTGTTTGTTAACAGATATGTTCCTTTATGAAAAGACATGTCTGATTCGTTAAATCGTAGAGTTATAAAATTAGTTAGTGGACTAAGTGGGTAAGTTGATACATCTTAATTAGGTCAAGTAATAGTTTAATTAATTAACTAGTTAATGTAAGTAAAGAGGCTCTCACTTAATTAAACTAAATTAAACTAGAGATGTATTTATATATATGTGTGACCTCAATTAGAAGAGACAGAGAGGGAGATATAATCTGTGAGAGAGAGTGAGAGAGTGTTCTAGAGTTTGAGCTTGAGTGAGTG